AGATGTTTGAGTCAACATATTCGTGGTTTGAGTAGAGGCCTTAATTATGGTTTCTAAACCCCTTTCCAAGACATTGAGACGTTTATCTTGATCTGGATTGTGAGGAGTTTGAATTACAGCTTGATGAGGAGGAGACTGATTTTGATACGGCAGATTGGGTTGTTGAAATTGTGAATGAGAATTGAATGGAACTGTGTTTCCCCTAGGAAAATGTTGGGTCGAAGCGGGAGTGAAATTTTGAGTTCCGGGAGAATTTCCTAGATTCCATGCAAAGTTGGGATGATTTCTCCAACCTGGATTGTAGGTTGGAGAAAATGGATCATTTCTAGGGTGCTGGAATGCAGCGTTCATCTGTTCTAATGAATGATTGTTTCCTAAGAGAGGGCATTCCTCTGAAACGTGGGTAGGAGACTGACAATTATGACATCCTGGGAAAGAAACATGATTGAGTTGAGCTGGAGCTCGTTCCTTAATTTCTAAGGCTTCTAACCTCCGCAGAATTGTCGCCATCTTCGCTTCAGAAGCAATGTTTGACTCCAAGGAAAGACCACTAGACTTAGAATGGGGAACTGATGAAACCCTGTCATCGCACTGTTCCCATTGCATTGTTTTTTCAGAAAGACTCTCCAAAAACTCCCAAGCTTCATCAGCATTTTTCCTCATAAAATCCCCGTGGCACATTGATTCTAAGGAAGTTTTTGCAGAATAATCTAATCCCTCATAAATTATTTGGCACAATCGCCATTTCTCTAAACCGTGATGAGGACATTGGATGAGAAGATCTTTAAATCGGTCAAAATACTTCCAAAAAGGTTCTCCCGGGATAATTTTAAAGTTTTGAATGCTGTTCCTAAGCTTTACCGTTTTATGAATAGGAAAAAATTTCTTAAGAAAAACGGTGACAAATTCATCCCAAGTTGAGATGGAATTTGTTGGTAAGCTGTACAGCCATTTTTTAGCTTTATCCTTAAGAGCAAATGGAATAAATCTAAGCTTAACCGCATCTTCATTTAATTCTCTCATTTTAATCATAATACACACTTCCTCAAATTCCGAAATAAAAATATATGCGTCTTCTGTTTCATTACCAAGGAATTTGGGAAGCATGTTTATGTATTGCGGTCTAAGCTCAAAACTTATTCCATTTGTTTCGGGGAGCCTAATGCATGAGGGGATTGCATTCCTAATGGGATAGCACATATCATGAAGAACGGGTGGATTAGGATGCTCCATTTCTATGATTGGTTCAAAGCGAATTAATCGATGTGTATTATCCCTAATCCACTGTTGCATACACCAAAATATTTCTTTTTATTATTTTTTTTATTTTTTATTTTTTTTCAAAAAAAGAAAGAAAATTAGTTTTTTTTTAGAAGATAAAGAAAAAGAAAAATCCTAACTGAAACAAATCAAAACAATCACTTTTCAATCAACTCTAATTCTAGGGTTTAGCCTAACTCAACTAGACCAGCTCCTAACCAAAAACTCCTACAGTGAAAAGATCAAAGTTTTACCCAGGTAGTTAGCCAGGTAAGGATAGTACTAGAGGGTGATCAAAGATCAATTAAGTACCTCTTTCCTTGCGGAGCGCTTTACGCAACCCCTAAACCTTGCCTTAGACACCAACTAATCTGAGAAAACTTAAACCGGTTCACTTAAGGATTTCTTGTTCCTTATTGAGCTCGAATCCTTAGGGGCCAACGTCTAATGAGTTTTATTAGGCTTGGGTGGTGTAGTGAGGAATTAGTGATTTTTGGGCTAAGGAAAGGGTGATGAAATCCCTCACCTTATCTTGATTATGGGGTTTTGCCCTTAAAAATATTTTTAAGTGTGTGTCAAATCAAGATGCTCAAATCACTTGGTGAATTCCTACACTATATGAAATGCAACCCTATGAATTAAAAGCAACTAAAAAGGATGGAAAAGAAAAATCTTTTTTTTTAATTAGGGTTAACAATCAAACAAATGAGAAGGGGGGATTTGTTTGAATTTATTATCTTGTTAGTAAATGTCAAAGTGGAGGATGAATTTTATTATGGTCAACAAAAAATAAAATCTCTTCTTCTTTTTTAAGTCCTAATTGTCTCTAATTGTGAAGAAGTAGCTAAAGGGTGGAATTAAAAACTAGAAAGAGGACTTACCTGAAAGCAAATCTTCAAATCCTAGCTCTCCAATCCGCGATCTTCAAGCTCCAAGCGTTTCCTTCACAAAAAACACACAAGTTAAAGAACCAAAATAATTAAAACCTACTTAAGCACCTTCCCCGGCAACGGCGCCAAAAACTTGATGCGGCATAAACATGTACCAAAAAGGTTGCAAGTGCACAACCGTGTCAAGTTATAGTATTTAAGATATCGATCCCACGAGGAAGGTGTTTTGTAGGAGAAAATATAAAATCGGTTCTTATGTTGTGTGCGTGACAAGTAGGAGTGATAAGTGAATGTGATTGTGGAGAGATAGAGAGAGTGGATTTTCGGCCCACTTATACACAAGTCCATATTTCATTTCATTTCCAAAGCAAAGGTCCAAGCAAGTCTCCGGCCCACTCATTTGTTTTCAAAACTAAACTCAGCAGCAACAAATCATTCCAAGTCAATAATGGAAATTCAATGCCAAGTCCGGCCCAATTATTCACATTTGCATTCTTGTGATTATCAAAACTGCAGCAACACTCCTTGCATCCATTTGAGAAAGAAATGCAATTCATTTGAGAGAAAAACAATCCGGCCCATGGAGAAAAATTGCAGCCCACATCAATAAATCAAGTCCAAGCAAAAAAAAATCAAAGGTGCAGCTAAGTCTTTGGCCCATTGTTTTCATTTGATTTTTTTTTGGCCCATTGTTTTCATTTGATTTTCCAACACCTGCATCTCCAGCAGCTGGTCCGGTCCAAGTTGCATTTGATTTTGAAATTTCATTCCAATTCATTTCATTTGAAACTCTGCAGCACAATAAGCAAGCTTGTGATCTTTGCATAAAAGTCCAATTCATTTTTAAGCAACCAAGTCCAAATTCGGTTCCTTGCACACATGTGATTTTCAAAAATTAATTCTCTTATTTCTTCATTTACTCAAGGGTCTTTGTTGAGAGATGGGATTTTTGGGATTTATTCTTTATTAACCTGCAATTAAAGATAAAAGCAATTATTAGTGATATATTTATTCATATAAAATAGATAATGAGGGTATAAAATTGTAATAAAATGTGATTATCAGCCGCCCGGAGTACGGACTAGTCCGTATGATTGCGATGTAGGTCGTCGCCTACAATCGATCTGCTCGACAGGATCCGACACATGCTGAGAGAGCAGAAATTATCGTAGCACACGGTCGGGGACATGCATCTCAACAATCTCTCAACAGATCAATGGAACATTGACTCTCCACGAGTCGGGCTATCTCAACAGATAGGTGCAAGAGTATGCATATCGAGCTCTGACGGTGAATAGGGTCTCCACTTGAATTGAAATAAGATAAATAACATAAAACATTTATCAGTATCAACAAACAAACTATAATATTCATAACGACTTGAGATTTATGTTTACATGTTCGTGTTGGAGGCCATCAAGCTCATTGCGGTAAAACTCACGATGTCGCGTCGCTGATTTATACTTAGTGTACCGCATATTATACCTATTTGGCATAAAGAAAATATGAGTACAAATTCAATATGAATAAAATTGTGTGGATAATTATATCTGTATGCCACAGGAAACTGGCCATGTAGGTCACGGTGCACAAGCAAAGTAGGTTGTCCAATATGAATGCGCTCCCACAACCAAATCTGTATCAATGTGCAGCATCCCTTGAATTCTTTATTCTGCAGTCAAGGATACCCTATACAATTCTCTATATAAGTATGCCAACACCGCACTACCCCATGATAGTGCGCCGCATACACCAAAATCCTCTAGCAGTGGTAGCCATCATGCTTGTACATGAGTCTTGCTCGCATCAGGAAATAGAGTGCACCCTATCATGTGCAATATGTACGCACGAGCATGATACTAAAGCGTCTCAATGGAGGCATTTGTCGGTATATCTCCCTGAAATGTCTGACAAAGACACGATATCTTCATCGTACCACTCCTCAAGTTGGGTACCTGACCAAAAAGCCTAGCACATACCTTAACCCAATTATGCTCATCGGTGCCCGTAACTGCCGAGCTATCGATGGGGAGCCCAAGTATGATGGCTGCATCCTGTAATGTGATAGTATACTTCCCTATATGCATGTGCAAGGTTTTGGTCTTTGGCCACCACCTCTCAATAAGTGCACTGATAAGTGGCCAATCAAGCCTAATATATCGCACTGTCGAACACTCCCGGAACCCGGCTTGAGCTATCAACTCTAGTATTCTCTCTTCGTGGATGACCCAAGCTGAATGACTCTATGAATGATCGACCATGGTAATGTCTGGTACGGGCTGTACATTAAACAAAATTGATTAAGTATATTGAGAAAAATTAAATTTAGTGCCAAAAATAAGGAATGTTTTTATATATAACATTTTACCTGTCCCGAGCCAATAAGATCTGAACAATGACTCGCCTGGAGGTACAAAACATCGCCATGTATCGGTCCCAGATCCATAATGTACATAACTACATATTACAACAAACGAATGTGCAATGTGAACCAGGAATAATTAGAAATCAAACAATAAAATTATCCCAAACATAGTACAAAATGCTACATATTACAACAAACGAAAGTGCAATGTGAACCAGGATTAATTCTGCATCAAACAATAACATTAACATAGTACAAAACGCTACATATTACAACAAACGCTACATATTACAAATACGAATGTCACATGTGACCAAACATTAACATTAAAAATCAATGCCTAATCCTAGCTGGACAACTGCTTTTGTTGTGGCCCGGTTGATCGTATCTACTACACTTATTTTTCCTCCTAATTGATTCTCGACTATCATCCATAGAATTTCTAATCCGTACGGAATGAGGGCGCCTAGCCAATCTTTTATATAATGGAGGTAATATTTGTGGCCCGTCTTTTGTCCAATGTCAACAATCATATGGTGGACGAAAACACTCCGTGTACGTTTGTTGATAGTTGTAAGTTGAATACCAATTTGCAATGGATTCGTAATGTGAAATCTCGCACCACCCTGTAGATCAGAGCAAGCTGCGATGATATGTGAACAAGGAATCAATTGTAGTTGTGGTACATTGCAAGTGCACGTACACATGTGATCCACTAGAATATTGACTTTGTATAAGCGACTTTCTCTATGTGATATTCCCTCAATGACCTCACATTCATTAAAATTGTATCTTACGACCTGAAATGATCAAGCAGAGACAATCCGAGCCGCTAACATTTCTTCAACCTTCGGCGTGAACTCTAAGAGGATATTTGCACCAAGTTCTCAACATCGAAGAAAGAAATTATTAAATCTGTAAAATGTTTTAGCAACTAGTGACTGTATTGGCATATCACGTGCTCTCCTAAGCACACCATTGAAACTCTCAGAAGCGTTCATAGTCATCATACAGAACCGCTTCCCGCCATCTTCATATAAAGCCTACTTATCAACATTGTGTGGTCCCAAACTAGTTTCGATCCATTCATGTGCAGCTCGTGAAATGAACTTAATCCTCTCTCGTATTTGATCATAAACTAATTTTTCTGTTGCACAGCCGGCTTGCCAAAGAAGATCTTGAACCTGCCCATTTCCATGCTTCTTCTTGAAGTTGTCCCTAATATGTCACAAGCAATAACGATGTTCATGTGGCGACGAGAAATGTTGTTGGAGTGCTCTTGAAATTCCTTTCATCCTATCAGATATGAATGTAATCGATCATGCCCCCACACTAGGGATATGATATCTAATGTATGCAAAAAACCATGCCCAATTCTCTGTATTTTCAACATCAACCATTGCAAACGCCAAAGGAAATAATCCGCCATTTGCGTTAACTCCGGTTGCAACAAGTAAAACGCCTTTGTACTTATCATACAAGTGGGTGCAAGCAATGCTAAGAAGAGGATGACAATATCTGAAACCCTCAATATAAAGGCTAAATGCCCAAAATACACATGTGAACCGTCGTTCTCCGCCATCAACAGGGTCTGATGATACTTCATAGACAGTCCCCAGATTTTCTCTTTTGAGTACTTCGAGATAATTTGGTATGATCTCATAAGATTTGTCTCAATCCCCAAAAATTTTTATCATCATCTTCCTCCTAGCATTCCAACACTTATTGTATGATACATCCAATTTGGTCACTTTATGCACTAAAAACGAATATCTTTTGGCCTTAGATCAAGATCCTCTCTTAGATTAGGTAAAATCAATCGATATATAAAATATGTGGACGCATGCTTGTTATTCATCTCTAATCGAGGATTGCTACATCTGTGGAGTCCGTTGTAAGCTGTGATTTTAAATTGCCCGTCTACTCTTACAGCCAAGCGTGAATTAAGCTTCCAAGGATATTTCACATTGCCGTCGTGGTGTCCACCATTATCCTCATCTTCGTCATCTTTGCGATAAAAAAAACTACATTATAGCTTGTTGTATTATTTTTTTGTTGGCCTAAACTTGACATTTTTTTCCATGGCCCACAAACGAAGCACATGGATCAATTTCTCCTTACTTTCAAATAGACCCCCTTCTTGAATGAGAAGTCCTCACCTTGTGTATCATCTGTTAGCCCTTATGTTTTGATGATGTTTTACAACCACCATTATCGGTACTAATGGCTTGTTGAGTGAAAATATAGTAAATACGTATATCAAGCTTGTTAGTGCCATTAATGGAGGATTGGATAGAATATGCGCTACAACGATGATATCCAAAGAAGGAGGAGGCATAGCGATGAAGCAACGTTCATTCAAGAACACTAAATGCAATAAGAAGCTTCATCCAACTCAAGCTATATTAAGACTCAAAGAATTGTATTCTACGTGAAGATATTAGCTAGTTTTTATTTTCTTTTTAGTACTAAAATGTAGGCAAATAGTTTAGATTTAAATTGAAGCTATTGGGATATCACACACACGGTTTCATACTTATAGTTTTGAGTGTTTATTCATAAAATACTATTTTTCACAAGTATGAAGACCTATTAGCAAAATTCCTTTTCCAAATAATTTATTTTGAGTGTTAAAAACATTTTACAAAGTTTCACAATTTTTGGAAGTCAAATGAATATTTTACAGATTTTTTAAGTGAGTCAAAAAAAAATAGTATTTTGAATGTATCAGTCTACGGTCAACCGCCACGGTCGATCGTGCCTGAGTTCATTCGTCAGTGGGCAGCAGAGACTTTCATAGTCGACCGCCACGGTCGATCGTGAGCTCGAAATTTCCTACGGTCGACCGCCACGGTCGACCACAGAACTCTCTGGAGTTTTTCTTCGTTTCTGATCTGGCTCGCGATCGACCGCGAATATTCTACGGTCGACCGCCGCTTGTTTTTCAAACGATCTTTTGTACTTTTTCAGCGCCGATTATACACAATCTCAGCATCGTTTGTTTCCAGATTTTGGGGGATTATGGTATGGGTTTAAACAGCTGGTTTTTCCTATTTAAACTCATACACTCCTTCTTCCTCATTGTCCTAAGTTTTTGAAAAACCAGAGTTTCAGTTTTACCGAGAGCCAAAATTTTCAAAACCTATTTTCTGTGTTTTTCTCAAGTTCACATCCCAGATTCAGATTAATCTTTCTCTTTGCCATAGGGACTTGTAAAGAGAGAGCTTTTACACCATTGCTACTGTTTGAGTGCTTGGTATTATGAAGATCAATTGTGTAGGAGTATGATCCAGTGGAGATCAACGGTGTAGTTGTGAGATCGTGAGGAGATCGTTGTGTAGTAGAAGTTCCGGCTTCCAAACCAGGTTGTGTAGTGGATTTCTCCTCGAGAGTGGGGAGCGGGGATGTAGGTCAGTTGACCGAACCTCGTTAACACATCGCGCGTTACAAGGATAATGATTCCTTACTCTATCTCTTTTTCTACTGTTGTTCTTTTGTGGTTTGTTACTTGTCTTAATTTTTATTGCACTATTATTAGCCTTGTGACCCTAATCACCCCCCCCTCTAGGGTCCAACATCATCAACGATATTAGTGCTGATAGGAATACTTTTCATCGTGGAGTTATTAATCCATTCTTCTCCATGAAGTTCATCGGGTGGCGGATCCTCTAACACGACATACTAATTATTAGTATAATATCCGTCAATGTGTTGGTTGTCCCCTTCATCACGATCAATCAAACACGTCATGCTATTAATTTGTAAGCCATCCACTTCATCACCATCCTCGGATTCGATACTTGCATTATCATCTAGATGAGCCGTGTTAGTATCGATATTTGAAGTGTCCACAAACAAAGGACCGCTCACATATTCTAACTGTGTCCAACCTTCATCTTGTTGCAGAGATAAAAATCCAACGGAGTCAACTTTAAGGTCCTCCAACATGCGGGAGTATATTCCATCGTGATTTACCGATTTGCCCAAATTTCTCTGATGTTTTTCAATAAATAATTCCATCGAACGCTTCTGATCGTCTAACACTCCAATAAGACCTATATCATAGTCACTTGAGATTTGAATGCCGCTTGTTTTATTTCCCACAATAGGATAATTGCAAATAATATTGAGGTGATACTCACGTGAGTTGGTTAATGTAAGTTTATGTAATTCATTAACCAATTCATCGAAAGTATATAATTTTGTTATAAACAACGGTCTCATCACACCTCCTTCATAAACAAGCATATTATTTTCGAGATAGTTAATCTTTCTATCATATGAATAAAGAATTTTGATTCGATCGTTCATTATTACCTCTGAAGAGTAAAAAATTCAAGATTAATATTACACGAAAAAACTTAAAAAAATGTTACTTACCATTAAATCACCACATTATCGATTTTAGAAACCCATAATTTTAACCAAATTCATATATTGATGTCAAACATATGTAGTAACACTAACTTTTACATTTTTTGATAATTTTCCCTATAAATACACAAAATTATTTAATTTTTTTCACAAATTCATAAATAATTCACAATTAATTTCTAAAATCTAATTTTTTTTCAAGTAATCATCATGAAATAGTGAGAATATACAAGAAATTAGGAGAATTTTTTTAAAGATTTTACTTTAAATTTGTCGATGCCCTAATTTTTGGTGAACTCTGGCGATGATGGCGGCAAGAGCAATCAACTCCGGTGAGGAACTAGCAGCGGCAGCGG